GAGTGACAGTGAGACTCCAACTCAAAAAGAAAAAAAAAAAAGAAAACCCTCCAGGAAGGGAGTAACGCCTGTTTCAAGGCTGAAGTCATCTCTTTCACCACCGCCTTACAATCCCAGGGGCAGAGGCTGCTTCTTTTCCCTTTCACACCAGTAGAAAAATTGGATCATTCTTTCTTTGCCATTTTCAAATACCTGGGAAAGGAAGGCTGATGGGTCAAACTGGTGTCAGGTGCTCAACATGCCCATGCTTTCCAATCTACTCAGGTTAAAACTTCACTCAAACTGGGCTCGGTGGCTCAGCCTGTAATCCCGCGCCTTTGGGAGGCTGAGGTGAGTGGATTGCCTGAGTCCGCGGGTTCGAGACCCGACTGGGCAGCGAGACCTCATCTCTACAATAAATCAAAAAATCAGCCAGGCGTGGTAGCGCATGCCTATAATTCCGGCTACTTGGAAGGCTGAGGCGGAAGGATCGCCGGAGCCCAGCAGGTCGAGGCTGCGGTGGCCGGGAGTGGCCACTGCACTCCAGTCTGGGTGACAGAGTGAGACTCCAACTCAAAAAAAAAAAAACTTCACTCAGTCAAGTCCTAACCAGTACTTCTCAAACTTTAATGTTCATTCAGATCACCTGGGCATCTTGTTTTGTTATTGTTTGTTTGTTTGTTTGTTTTGGTGGGGGGCGGAGTCTCACTCTGTTTCCCAAGCTGGATTGCAGTGGCATGATCACAGCTCACTGCTTTGATCCTGAGGTCAGGCAATCTTGTCTTAGCCTCCTGCGTATCTGGGACTACAGATGTGTGCCACTACACCTGGCTAATTTTTAAACTTTTTTGTACAGATGAGGTCTTGCTATGTTTGTTGCCTGGGCTGGTCACGAACTACTGGGCTTAAGCAAATTCTCCTACCTCAGCCTTTTAAAGTGCTGGGATTACAGACATGTGCCACTATGTCTGGCCCTGGGCATTTTGTTAAACTACAGATTCAGATTCTGTATGTCTGGGGTAGGGCGTGACTCTCCATGTCTACCAAGTTCCCAAGTGATGTTGGTGGTGGTGGTCATGGACCAGACTGTAAGCTGTGTTTTGAGTTGCAAGATGCCAGACTGAGCTGTGTGAGGAGCTTCAACTACTCAATTCACGACTCCATCCCCAGTGCCCAGCGAGTGCCTGGCACAGCCTCTGAAACACAATAAATATTTGTTGGAAATTCTTGCATAAAACTTCCCACCTCCTTATAGATAAAGCCTTAATTAAGTGAAGCCTGGATTTTCCGCTTAGACTTTTTCAAAGATTCTTTCTCCAAATATCCATAAGACATGGAGAAGCAGGGCAGGACTCTTGCTCTCCACTGTTACTTTCAGATCATTACTTAAATATTCTAGCAGAACAACACTTTCTGTAAGATTCATGTTTTCCTTTTACTTCTTCATGGTGTCTTAATCGACCGATTTTCAAGGAATTCTCTTCATTCGCAGAAGTCTTTGGCATCTGACCCACAGCCTTCCTTTCAGCCCAAAGCGATCATAATCTTGGGTGACTTCAAAGGCCACATACACTCATACTTTCCAGAACTTCTTACTTCCAGTGACCATCTTCACACCATTTCAGCAAACTTCTACATGTCCACAACCCAATTTTTGCCATGTCCTGGGCCTGTTCCACCTGTGCAGTATTACACCCCCAAGTCCTACTTTCTCTCCTACAGACTTTTTGACCATAGCCAGATCTGCACTCTCTAAGCTATTCCATATTCACTTGAGCTATGAGCTCCCTCCTGGAAGACGTTCCTCCTGTTCTGTCTGGTCTAAAACCTCAAGAGGCCTGCATTTCAACACCCTCTAGCCTCAATTCTCTTATTCATGGCCTTCTCTGGTACTTGCCTTTTGAAATTCTGATTCTTGATCAGTCCACTTTTTCCAGTCCCATACCAGTGATAATGAGTACTAAATGGAGAGAAGATGGATCATTCAGCAATGATGCTGATCTAACTAGAATCATTTTCTGAAAAAAATAATATTGGGTTCCTCCTTCACACTTCACACAAATAAGTTAAAGATAACAAATAACACTGCACACATAAATAACAGTTTAAACAAAACAAAAAGGAAATATAAAAATCATTAGGGGGAAAAAGGAATAAATTATTTTAAGGTCTCCAAATGGGAATGGAAGGTTTTCACATGCCCAACATAATACAAAACCAAGAAGCCATAAAAGACTGATAAAACCAACTCATAAAAGTTAAAGTAGTCTGCATGACAAAATAAAAAGAGCTAATTTCCTTTCTATAAAGAGCTTCTACAAATCAATGAGACCAACAGTTCAATGAAATATGGTCAGAGGATATGAACTGTTGACAGAAAAGGAAATACAAATGGCTCAAACATATAAAAAGTGTGACAATTTAAAGTGTTCTTTTAGAAATCGTCACACTTTTTCCATAGAGGTTGAACTAGTGTGCATTCCCACCAACAATATAGAAGCATTCCCTTTTCTCTGCATCCTTGCCAGCATCTGTTTTTTGTTTTATTGATGATGGCCATTCTCACTGGGGTTAGGTGATATCTCAATGTGGTTTTGATTTGCATTTCTCTGATAATTAGTGAGGCCGAGCACTTTTTCATGTGTCTGTTGGCTGCCCATATGTTGTCTTTGAGAAATGTCTATTCCTGTCTTTTACCCACATTTTAATGGGGGTGTATTTCTTTCCTTTAGGCACGTTTGAGTCCCCTGTAGATCCTGGATGTTAGGCCTTTGTCAGATATGCAGTTGGCAAATATTTTTCCCACTCTGTGGACTGTCTCCCCACTCTCTTGATGGTTTATTTTGCTTTAGCATTTATCATAATGCTGTAAGAAAGGGATTGGCAGTAGCAGGATACTGCCGGAGTGGGGGTGGGGAGATGACACACAACATCAATAAGGGTACTTAATCGCAAACCAGGCAAAGTGGGGACCAAAGGGAGGTCCAAACTGTAGCTGTGATGACCACTTGTATACCTAATCCTGAGTTGTATCTGACACCTTTCAAATTTTAAAGAAGAGTTATTGATGGTGTGAACAAAGGGACCTCTCTCCCCATAGGTGTAGTAAACTGGTGCAACCACTAAGAAAAATATTGCAGTCTGGTGAAACACAGGCTCTCAACCTCCAATTTGGAATTTCCACGTCAAGGTCCATAATCCAAAGAAGTCACTTATATGTCACCCAAGAAGTGATGTGTGTATGGTAATCATCACCGCAGCACCGTGTACAGAATATTGGGAATTTAATTTCTACCAATCCACTAATAGTAGAATGCATAAATTAAATCATTTAGCCAGGTGCTGTGGCTCATGCCTGTAATCCCAGCTCTTCGGGAAGCCAAGGCGAGAGGATTGCCTGAGCCCTAGCATTCCAGACTAGCCTGGACAACTTGGCAAGTCCTTGTTTTTACAATAAATCAAAAATTAGTTGGACGTGGTGGTGCGTGTCTATAGTTCCAGCTACTTGGAAGGCTGAGATGGAAGAATCACCTGAGCCCAGACGGATAAGGCTGCAGTTGCCGTGAGCGTGCCACTGCATGCCAGTCTGGGCGACAGAGTGGAAATTCAACTAAAAAAAAAAAAAAAAAAAATTAAATCATTTGTACAATGGAATATTGTAACTATCAATAATTATAATAAATGGGCATAAAAATAAAATTTGTGGTAAAAAAAAACGAGCATAAGGGTTGATAAAAAACACAATGTTGAATGAAAAAAGCACCTACAACTTACCCCATACAATATGTTGACATACAAAGATTAACAATTAATGCCTAAGAATACCCACATATGCGGTGAAAGTGTAAATCATGAATGATAAAAATCAACAGAGTTCTTGACAATGATCTCTGGAATGAGTGTGGGATCAAGAAGTTCAGAGGCATCTCAACTATATTTTTTAAAAAATAGATCTGGAGCAGATATAAGCAATTTTAAGATTTAATAAAATTGGGTTTATGACATGAATGGATATCTGGGTGTTTATTATACTGGTATTATTTGTATGATTAAAATAGTACTTTTTTTTTTTTTTGAGTTGGCGTCTCACTCTGTTGCCCAGACTGGAGTGCAGTGGTCACTCCCGGCCACCGCAGCCTCGACCTACTGGGCTCTGGTGACCCTTCCGCCTCAGCCTTCCAAGTAGCTGGAACTACAGGCGCGCGCTACCACACCTGGCTAATTTTTTTGATTTATTGTAGAAATGAGGTCTCGCCTGCCCAGGCGGGTCTCGAACCCGCGGGCTCAGGCAATCCACTCACCTCAGCCTCCCAAAGGCACAGGATTACAGGCTGAGCTACCGAGCCTGACAAAATAGTACTTTTTTTTTTTGAGTCGGAGTCT